TTGGGACTACTCACCTTGAAAAGACTCCTTAGATTACAGGGATATCCTGGGAAATACTTGGATGACTGCTTAGGGAAATTCGTACGAAAACGTGCACCATCATGAAATAAAGGAGCAATAAATATCGTGAATGGTGAATTAAAAAAAAAAAAAAAATGGAACAAACTCCGCCAAGCAAGTAACGATACGTCTGCTGGGCTGGAGATACCTGCAGGAAAATACAGGAAATTCTATACGGGATAAAATACGGATCTAGCTCTTAAATCTTATTAAAAAATAGTCCGGGAAACGAAATGATTGTGCCTTTTGAAAATATACGAAAAAATTGCAGTATCCCTTACGGATCTCCAGGAAATGGGATATTATCGAAAATCCAGAAGCAGAGGATGGACCGCTCTCTTGAAAGACATTTTTTGGAACTTTAAATTTTGTAACATATTAAAGTAGCCTTTCTATGATTTACGGAGATGGAAATATTTTTAAGGGGAAGGGACTTCATACGGGACAAAATATGGAACCGACCTTCAGGATTTGACAGAAAAATGAAATCCTTCTAGACTTGGTACTTTTTGTCCTTTCTGCCCGTCTTTCCAATGGCTGTGAAAGATAAAAGGAAGTGTGGGAACGAGTACCGAGTAAAATCCGACTACACTATGCCTTTGAAAATCCACAAAAATCCTTGAAATTGCAGTATCCCGTACGGATCTACAGGAAAGTGGTTCTGATTGGAAAATACAGAAACAAGGGGATAAACCGATCTTTTTATTTTTCAGAGCTTTTTCTTGAAGCCTTGAAAATATCCTGGAGTCTTTTTGGGATTTTTTTTTCTTCAAAGTAACACTTCTCACGCGGTAGGGTAAAATCGTAAATCGTTTTTTTCAAAGTGACATTTCTCACGCGGTAGGGTAAATCGAAAATCATTTTTTCGCCTGTTCGAGGGTACTTGGTTTTTGCGAAGGACTTGGAGAAGTCTTCGGACCCTACACGGTGACCTTTTTGGGAAGAACAACAAATATTGAAGTAGCACAGTAACTCTCCCTCTCACCCCGGGGTTGTTTCCTGCTCTCATGATGAGACATGACTCTAGCTCCGGTCGAAATCGGTAGAGGGAAGCCAGATTGCTACCATAGCTTCTGTTCTGTCACAGTCTGCGCTTCCTTCTTTCTATCCAAGTAAGGACATCAGCTTAGGCTATGGTTTGCGTTACTCTTGGTTCTCTTTGATTATCTTCCGAAGAGTTTTTTCAATTTCGAGTTTTCACATATTTGGTGTGTTGCTACTCGCAACATGCTTGTGTTATGCATATGGTTGATTCCAACTTAGGGGCTCGTTAGACACTCCTATTGAAATCCTTGGGCAAACGTAAAAATTCATTTTGGTTCAAAAGAAAATTTGGGCCCTTTGTTCCACCTGTCCTCGGGGACGTCGTCCGAGGACATTTCCTTCGAGCGATGTCAGAAAAGAAAAAAGAAAAGAAAAGAAAAATGAAATGTGCTTGAGGCCTTCAGCCAAGAGGGTACCGCCACGATCCAGATTCTCGGTTGTAAAGTCTTTCTACCCATGTGCTTGCTCCTCTCCGTGAAACGCGGATTCCTTTTGCCCAAGGGACTTCACGAGGTCCCTTGGGCAAAAGGAAAAAATGGTTGGGGAATTCTCTGAGCCCAAGGAATTTCCTTCGGAGTGTTTTCACTTTTTTTTTTTCCGACTGCATCCCCGAGGATAGGTGGAACGAACAATTCCTCGGGGACTTTACGCGCCTGAGGATTGTCTAACGAGCTCCTTATGCTTACGTCGACCTCTTGCTTTCCTTTCCAATTGGTAAAGGCAGTGGCGACCGACCAGGAGGTGATCATTTGGTTCGATGACCCTGCAATATTAGTCACACTTGCTACATCTACTCTAGATTGACAAATGAACGGAAACAGGGGGAAATGGTGGATTCGGCTTCGGAACGAGGCCACCTGGCCCACCGCAAGGCAACGGGGGAGATGGAACGGTGGACAAGGTGGTCAAGGCAGATGAACGGAAACGGAGTTGGGGGATGAAACAATGGGAATAACGGAGGATCAGGTGGATGGAATAGCGAAGTAGCGGAAGTGGCGGAAGTATGGGAGGACCAAGAGGATGGAGTAATGGAAATGGAGGAGGATGGAATAACGGAAACGACGCCAATTGGAGTAATGAAGCAGGTGGCAATTGGAACAACAATGGAACCGGAGGAGGAGGTTGGCAGCGAAAGGGACCAAAATGCTACAATTGTGGACTCTTTGGACATATCTCACGAGAATGTCAGGCACTAAGACAACACTACCAAGGTCAACAACATCACAACCTAGGGCTACAGGCGAATGAAGGATCAAGCAGCTCCAATGCCTACGTGGAGATGGAGAAACCGGTTGTGTTAAGCAAAGAAGTAGAAGAATCATTGAAAAGTATGGCAGCCTTTATGAAGAGGCAAGCGGAGAAAGGAGAGGAGAAACGCCAACAAAAGAAGGTAGCAGAAGAGAAGAGAAAGAAAAAGCGGCAAGAGAAGAAGCGAATAGGCTGGCGCTAGAAAAGAAAAAGGCAAAAGAACTGAAAGAGGCGAAAAGAAACAAGGAATTTGAAAAGAAGCTAGCTCGACAGAAAAAGTTGATGGACTCCGAGGAAGAATTTGAGAGAAGGCTTAAAAAAAAATTAAACGGAGTAATGATAACTGAAAGAGTAGTTAAGGCAAAATCTAAATTGAGTATGCCACAGCCTGGATCATCAGAAGATGAAGAGGAGGAGAAGACTCAGGAGGAAAGACTAGAAAAACGCAAACGCTAGCAGGGACAAACATCTGGAAGACAAGCAAGCCCAGTTGGCACTCTGGCCAAGATTGGAACCAAATATCGAAGAATCGACGACACGCATGATGGAAGAACGAGACGACCAAACGGACGTAAAAGCCACGAGAGGGAGGAGTAAAACTCGAAGAGAAGGCTACTAATCCACCCTATGGGAAGGTGCCCTGGTGGATGCCGATAGCAAAACAGAAGCTGCTTTCAGAAAACAGATAAGGAAATTCCTCAATAAGAAGAGTGTTCCGACAATTCAAGAGATATGCAGCAGAGAGCGCAAATGGGTAACCGTTCCCCGTACCCGACCGCACCCAACTGTAACCGCCAGGTCATGGGCAGACACGTACGGGGGCCAGAAAAAAAAAATAGGGGGTGGGTACGGGCGGGGAGAGGATTTTGTCGGGTAACCATGATATGTTGCGCTTCCAATCCTACCTACCCCCCTCCACCCCCACTAGAACTTGTAGGGCTGGTTTTTTGGGGGGGGTAACTAGAGCGTGGTCACGAAAGCAGTTTGTAAATGCATTTCGAACTGCCTTTTTGGAGTCCAGTACCGTCCCAAGTTTCAACTGCAGTCCAAACACTTCAGACGCATAAAAGTCGCAAGGCCGAGTTTGCAACTTCAGTCCAGTCCGGGATGTGACCTCTTTTTTTCTTTCTTTCTTTTTTCCTTTAATCTCGGGCGTGGCCGAGGCATGATTGCCGTGGCCTAGCCATGCGACAAGATGGTTTTTTTTTTTTTTTTTTTTTTTTTTTTTAAATTTWTTTWTTWTTWCCTCGGATGTGGCCGRGGCATCCCGGTCGTGGCCAGCCACGCGATGGGGCCTAGATGTATTAAAAAAAAAAAAAAAAAAAAGAGCTCCTTGCTCCAGTATTCTTAACATGCACAAAAGACACAAAGCATGCGCTGTATCTTTCCATGTTATAGAGGAAGATTCACTCCCGTTTCGCACATTTCGAGAGTAGTGGAGCTAGGCAAAACGAGAGTGAATCTTCCGTTAAAACATGGGAAGATGCACCGCCACGAGGCCCCAAAGATGGCACGTGTAGGTCACGAAATCTGATAAGGGAAAAAAAAAAGAAAACAAAAAAGAAAAAAAACGGGATTGTTGTCAGCACGTGTCTCCCCTAGGGCCTCTGCGTTGTTGTCAGCCCGTGTATCCCGCTGGACCCCTGTATTCCTGTTGCACAGAAGACAAAAATAATGGAGTTGTATCTTTTCATGTTCTAAGGAAGATTCACTCTCGTTTTGCACATTTGAAGATCAATCGTGGAAACTGAGAGTGAATCTTTTTGTAGAACATGGAAAGATACTGCGCCAATTTTTTTTTTTTTCCTTCTTGTTTCTTCTTTTTCTTTTTGGAAAGCGGCTTAGCCCTCGGACGTGGATGACTAGGCTGCAATTACAAACTCTGCCCTGCGACAGCCACGCGACGGCGAAGTTTGGCCTACAGTGTAAACTTCAGAGGGGGCTGGAGTCTAAAATGATAGTTTGAAATGTATTTTCCAACTCTAACCTTGACCGCACCCTAGTTTTTTTTTTTTTTTTTTTTCTTTTTTATGCTGCCTCCTTGAGAGTCCTGCCTGAACGGCCATTTTTTGGGGTTTTCTTTCGCGTCGTTGGGCCTCTGGCCCTCCGTGTTGTTGCAATTGCCAACTTCGAGTTCGGGTTTTCGAGTCGGCCTCTCTTCACTACTCGCCGAATGAAAAAAAAAGGTGAAACAAAAAAAAGGGGTGTATCTTCCCCTTGTCCAGAGGAAGATTCATTCTGAACTTGAGGATTGTATGAGTAGTGGAGAATGCCCATTGGCTCCCGCGCGTTTGAAACTCGGTTTGCATCGCCTCCCGCCCCTTTCCAGTCCCTGTTCTTGCTGCTCTTCCCCCGTTGTCGTCCTTGCCGCCCCTTGTTCTCCATCCTCCATAGCTCCCTTGGTCGGCTTCGCAGGTGTGACTCAGGTGGAGGGCATCGCAGGTGTGAATGGCAGCAGCAGCAAACGCCAACGCTCAACAGTCAGGACTAAGGAGGCAGACGGCGACAAGATTGGACGACGCCGATAGATGAAGTGGGCGACCACCAGCCTCTCTCTCTCTCTCTCTCTCTCTCTCTCTCTCTCTCTCTCTCTCTCTCTCTCTCTCTCTCCTCCTCCTCCACGTCTTTGTCCTGCTCTCACTCCTTGTCTTTCTTCATGTCATTGTCCTGAGCTCCTCCAGCTGCTCCTCCTCCACGTTATTGTCCTCTCGCTGCTCCTCCTCTACGTTATTGTCCTCTCACTGCTCCTCCTTCGCCACGTCGTCGTCCTCCTTCGGCTCCTACTCCGCCTCCATGTCATCGTTCTTCTCCACGTCTTTGTCCTCCTCATGCCCCTCCTCCTCACGTCATCGTCCTCCTCCCGCTCCTCCTCCTCCTCCACATCATCGTCGTCCTCCCGCTCTTCCTCCATCTCCTCCACAACATCGTTCTCGTCCCGCTCCTCCTCCACAACATCGTTCTCGTCCCGCTCCTCCTCCTCCTCCATATCATCTTTCTCCTCCCACTCGTTCATCCTCCTCCCGCTCCCCCTTCTCCACATCTCCATCGGCCACGTTTTTTTTTTAAACCACTAGTACCTCCGAGCCTGTTTTTGCCGACCCTGAATTTCACTAAGCTCTGAGTTTGCCGAGTCTGGGTACCACCCCTCCTCCTCCACATCTCCATCCGCAACGTTTTTTTTTTTTTTTTTTTTTTTTTTTTTTTAACCACTAGTACCTCCAAGCCTGTTTTTGCCGACCCTGAATTTCACTGCGCTCCGAGTTTGCCGAGCCTGGGTACCACTCCGTTTTCTTTCGGTTACTCTCACGAAAAAAAAAAGAAAAAGAAGTTGCGGCCGTGAACTCAGAAAAAAAAAACAAATAAAAAAAAGAAACAAAGCTTTGGCCGTGATTGCAGTTGTATACATTCTTGGAAGTGGTCGTGTGAGTGTGCCCTCAGTGAGGGCATCTCTGCCGTGTGGCCAGGTTGTCAGATTCGAAAAAGAGAACAGAAGGGGAAAAGAACGGGCACACGGATCCGGCCGTGAAAATGGCTGGATACATTCCCCTTAGTATCAGTGTGATGAGTGTTACAATCCTTTGACAAAACACAGCTTGAGCAGATCACGAAGCAATTCACGGATTCCCCCCTGCCTCATTGGAAGGGGACATATAAGAAACACACGAGCAAGAAAAAAAAGAAAACAGTAACATCCAGAATGTAACCGCCTTACCGGTGAGGTGCGTTCTGTGGAGGAAGACTCTGAGCACGGCCTCCAAGACTACCTTGCCCGACATCATTGCGGTAGAGATAGTATTTTCTTTTTTTCCTTTTTCTTTCACCCGTGGGAAATATAAAAATCTGATTTATGGGACAATGCCGCCCCTGTGTCCAACCCCGGATAACTTCGGGAACTAGCAAAACATCGTAATTTCCCAACACTGGCAGAGGTACTAGTGGTTTAAAGGGTGACAGCCTTGGGATATCATATCGAAACTGACCGACGTCATTATACTACCGCTCCTCCTCCTCCACGTCATCGTTCTCCTCCTGCTGCTCCTCCTCCACATCATCGTTGTCCTACCGCTCCTCCTCCTCCTCTTCCACATCATCGTTCTCGTCCCGCTCCTCCTCCTCCTCCTCCTCCTCCTCCATGTCATTGTCGTCCTCCCGCTTCTCCTCCTCCACCTCCTCCCGCTCCTCCTCCTCCTCCTCATCCTCTTCCTCCTCCTTGTCCTCCTCCTCCTCCACTCATCGTTATCCTCCTCCTCCTCGTCCTCGTCCTCCTCCACTCGTAGTTGTCCTCCTCCTCCCCCACCTCCTCGTCCTCCATGCCATTGTGACGACTTTATTAAAAAAAAAAAAAGGCCCAAGCAGTGTGAAAGGAATGACCCGAGAGAGAGAGAGAGAGAGAGAGAGAGAGAGAGAGAGAGAGAGAGCTGTCTCTTTTACACATCTAGATGTGTATAAGAGACAGGGCCTAGATGTATTAAAAAAAAAAAAAAAAAAAGAGCTCCTTGCTCCAG